TAGGACACGCTTACGTAGAGTGCTGCTTATATGAACAGAACACACACATATCGTAATGCCGAGAATCGCCAGTCAATTTGGTGTGGAGAACAGATGATGTAGACTGCTTCAAACGGCGACTACAGGCTGGATGGGTCGCCACATGTTGAGCCCCGTTCTCCCATCCACTCTCTTTGTAATCGCTTTTTTTAAACTCTTCAGCTCAATTTAAAGGAAGGTCAGAAGACCACCAAGCCCCGAAGGAACAGCAGCATGGTCCGTAGGCCCTTGTGTAGCACAGGTACGGTTATATAGGACCAGTTTGCCCAGGCCAGTAAAAGCACCATAGCGTGGCTTCTGTCTGTAGTCATTGAAATCTGCGAGAGAGCCCCTGGGCAAGATGTCATGAAGATGACATTGGAATGGCTGCACGACATTCTACAATGCAAGCACCGATTATCAAAATCTTCTCTAAAGCACTCCAAGTCATATACTAGAAGAACAACTTTGCATGTGTTAAACCGATAAGCAAGGAGGGTAGCTGGGCTGTTTTCAATCATAAGTGTTTATCTGAAAAATCTCGTGGCAAATTTGCTGTATACACAGACCGAAACCACGAATTACCTACGAAATTAGGCATAAACGCCAGTTGAAGAATATGCACTGTAGTAAAATAAGAGGCAACTGATTTTATTCTTTAGTGCTAAGACGCACAAGGTAGATACCCCTTTCATTGTTTTAATTGCTTAAGAGGGGACCTGACAAAAGCAAACTACAATCCTAAAAGTAAGTGTTAAGGACACATGGGAACGCTTTCTCGTAAAAAGCTAGATTGATGTTTTGGAGGTTTTCGAAAGTAACGCGAAAACGGGCCTAAGGCTCTCTCAGCAGAAATGAAGCATTTGTTTTGATTCATTGTTCACAACAGCCTGTTCGCAAAAGTATACTGCGTCTGACGAAAAAAAAAATGAAAAACGAGTCCTCAACTTTTCATTTCTCTCTTCATGCATATTTACTGTCTCGTTCTGGAAACTTGACGCCTCCAGGTAGTTAGCGGTAGATTACTGGTCAGCAGCGAGCTCGAAATAAGGATCACGTGCCATGTGATGCCACCAGGCAGAAAAAGTTTTCTACGTTCACCGCTAGGGCTGCTAGCAGCATTGACGGACACAGTCGAGTTCAAATGCCATATGTACCGCATAAAGTGGACGACGTGATGGTAGTCGCAGTCACTCACTTGGTAGAGCATCGGAGGCTTTGTAGGAAAGTGGCTAATTTTGTCTCTGGCAAAAGGAAGTTATCATTAGTGCATTTTTCTTCTTTCATTATTACACTTCAATTATTACTAATACCACCCCCAATAGCACTCTTGGCGCTACACCGCAGAGGTCTAGAGCCTATAGGTACTCGGCTGCTGACCCGCAGGTCACGGTATGGAACCCCGGCTGTAGAGGCTACATTTTTGATGGAGGCGAAAATGTTGTAGGCCCATGTGCTCAGATTGGGGGGCATATTAAAGAACCCCAAGTGGTCGAAATTTCTAGTGCCCTCCAGTACGGCGTCTCTAATGATATGGTGGTTTTGGGACGTTAAACCGCACATATCAATGAATAAATTGTACTCTAGGCATCCTTGTCTATGAGTTGTGAATAATGTCATGCGTAACATCATTGTCAGTTATTGTGAGTATTATTGTGTCTAAAAAGTCTCCACCCTTAATATTCCCTTTATCCCTGTTCAGAGCAAATATACAAGCACATGGGCGAAGGCTTTACACGTTGACGGTGTTCTGCGAAGGCATTCAGGAGTGTGGACGATCTTTATTGGTTCTTGACTTCACCAGCATGTTTCTTCAAAAGAAGGGTTTAGAAGGATTCGAAATGCCTAGCTCACGTGTGTTTAAAAGGCGTTGACACGACTTTTACAATGCCAGTGGATGTCAGTGATTATCTACGTTATCGTGGCGTTCAATTCATGTTAACTGATAATCCGGTCTTACAATCCAAGCTACAAGAAGCCCCTCCTCATTCGACTCATTCCAAGTTCTCAAAGTTGGTCATAGATCACGTGTGTATTGAAAACAACTTCATAAAATCCTCTCCTCACTTCTTGAAGGCACGTTTTTATCAATCAACAACACCTGTAAACATGTGGCGTCAGTAGTAAACAAGTTGCTGATATATATTCATACCTCTTCACAAAGTGAATCATGACGACTTGGTGAAGCTTTGGAGAGATAAATTCCCCGTCCACTCACGCATGTATTTGAGTCACAACGTGTATGTAGTAAGTGCAGTTTTATTGGTCGTAACTCATATGTTGTATTCAGTTCTGCATTGCTATTTGCTTTCTTTATCACTCCTTTCGGTCCTTGAATTGTAGAGCCAAAAGTTGTTCGATGAGATCTAGCTTGAGGTTCACAACTATGAGTCCAATGCACGTTTTTTTTATGTTTAGGTATTTGTAGAGGAGGGAATAAAGAGAGACGAAGCGGCTGGTGAGGATCGGGTAACATCAGATCTGCTGAAAGGCGGAGGACAGATTGTCTTAGAAAAAGTAGCCACCCTATTTACCGAGGGTCTCCTGACGGGGAGGGTACCACAATCTTGAAAGAATTTGAACATCCTCTGAATACATAAGGAAGGAGATGACGTGGATTTGACGAATTACAGGCCGATCAGCTTGCTCTCTGTCGCATGTTAGGTATTTGCAAAAGCAATTCCTAACTGAATTAAGACCTTAGATGTTAATCAACCAAAGGAACAAGCAGGATTTCGAACTATTCAACAATTGACCACATTCATACTATAAATCAGGTAATAGAGAAATGCTCCAAAGACAACCAACCACTATACATAGCCTCCATATATTACGAGAAGGTGTTTGAAGGGCACGAAGGACGCTTGTCTCTGTGTGTTCGTTCTCTTCTCGCGCTGTAACTATCATCATGTCATACCAACTAGTCGAAGCTGCCACACTTCTGGTAGAGGCGTTTCACATTAAAAGAAGTGGGAAGAAATGCGTAAGCGCACCTTCCATCACTTTCCCAGAAAACAATTTTCATACCTCAAGAGGACTTTGAAGGTTTGATCTGAGACACGTGTTTTATGGGCCAATTTGTGGGTTTTTTAATTTTTTACCTGCCAGGTCTTGTGACAGAAGTATATATGTGTGCCTACTTTTCTTTCGAATAAATTTTCATTGCAAGTGGCGCTTATGCTGTGTGCATTTTCTTGTTCTAGTGTCTGTGTCTCTGTGGGAGCTCTTATGCAATTAAAAGATCAGTTAAGGGGAATCAATAAGACTAATGATAGAAATCGATCGCACTTCTTCTGCTGGTGAGCGTTGCATGACCAAGCCGTCAGTGTCTTTGTCCGCTAAAGGAACAATACTTACGCTTGCCCTAAGAAGTGTTTCTTTTGCAGTGTACAAGTTGTCTCATTCAGGATTGTTGAATTAGGTTGAACGTTCATTTATATCTGGAATGAATAACAAAAGTAAAACCCAAAATACAACTGCCACGTCAATTTCGTACGTGAGTGTAGGTGGTCCTGATTATAAAATTACTGGTAGGAAATTAGTGATTGTGTCCATCTGTAGCTTAATGTCTGTTCTCGTTATTTCTGCGCTATGCTACAAGACCATTTCGAATTGCCATAGCTGTCTTGATGCAAGGTACGTGGCCTAATATTAGGTGCAGATCATTTTCAAATGTTGGATCATTTTTTTTTGTATACTCGGCGGAACATGGAAAGGTAGGCTACATTAGAGCCGGCTATCCCAACATCATAACAGTAATGTACAATAGGAACACACAGAAAAGCACTGTTAAAAATAAAATAGAAAAGCTAATAAAATGCAATATGTACAATACTCTATGCATCACAGGGTGTATAATGCATGAATAAGTCCAGTATGTATGGTCATAGTCCAAATATTATATCGGCATCACACTGCGGGTAGAGTTCGTGCAGATTCCAGCAAGGTAGGGTATGAACTAAAGACAGTTCATTAGATTTGTGTTCATTTAAAAAAATCACGGAGAGTGCTCACTGCGCGCCTTTGATTATCCGAATGCGGCCATGGTCCAAGTATTTTTGTAATCGTGACTTGTCGTCTGTGAAGTCGGTTCAAGAGATCCCTCAGTTCAGTCCGTTGTTGATCGCATTGCAGACATTGTAAAAGAATATGCTCCTCTGACACATCGACATGATCGCAGTGGTCACAGTGCGGGGACGTTCTTCTTTTTATGCGGCATGAAAAGTGAGGTGAGTATGAAACACGTAATCGTAGACGGTGCAATAGCGTGTCGAATGGTCTATTGATCTCTTGATTAGGTGAAAATGTGAGAGACGTATCTATTTGATATAACAGTGACAACTTTGTATTTTCGTGAAACCAAGCATCTTTGCATAATTTGTGGCGCAGTTCAGAAAGAACCTTCTCGCTCTCTGAGAAAAAAACGGCCGTTGGTGTCGAGTGAACATTTTGTGTGCTGCAGTGGCAAATTTGTCAGGAATTTCATTTTTTACCACTCTTGCATGTCTTGTGGACGTCCAGATAACCGATGGTGATTGTTTTTAATATTTCATGTATGATACTGTCATGTATTGAAAATAAAAATCCCTAATCATTTGCAGAGCTCCTTTGGAGTGAGAATATATTACCCAGTTTTGTCTTTGCTGGCTTTCAACAATCAATTTTGAAGCTTGTACTATTGCAACAAGCTCCGCTGTTGTATACGATGCCTTTCGAGAAAATCGGAAAGCTTTTTCTGCTTTATATTTGGGTATAAGAAAAGCCGCAGTCAGACTTGATGTATCCGTGACGTCACGCCAGCCGAAGCCGCCGTTATCACCACTGCTTCTTCTCCTTCCCTTCCCCTTAACCCCTCTCGGACAACGCTACATTAACCCGCGCTATAGCAATAAAGCTTTTGTCTTGGCCCAGCCACGGCCCTGGCGTGTTCGTTTCAGTGGCGACGAGGATGGGATAAAAGCGGTGCGGCAACTCCGTCCGTCATGACCGCCGCACCCACGGGAGGATACGCCAGCCCGCCGCAGTTCGACGAGGCGAGCGACAAGTGGCCCGCGTACCAGGTTCGGCTGGAAGCCTTCTTTGAGGGAAATGGCATCACGGAAGACAACAAGAAGCGGGCCCTGCTGGTGACTGCACTGTCCACCCACACCGTCGACGTACTGAGCGGACGTTGTGCTCCGGATAAGGTGAATGAACTTTCGTACCCACAAGTGATAGCCTTGCTTAAGCAGCACTTCTCGCCGCAACCGAAAGAGATAGCACAGTCTTATAAGTTCTTCACCCGCAATCAGCTGCCCGGCGAACCGGTCAAGGATTTTGTCGTGGCGATTCGACAGATAGCGGACACCTGCAATTTTGGTGCTTCGTTGGACAGAATGCTACGAGATCGCATCGTGTGTGGTCTGCACAACGTCGGAGTACGTCGGCAGCTACTCGCGAAACCACAGCTGACAAGGAGCGAAGCGGAAGAAATTGCGATATCTACCGAAATGGCCGAGGCCAACGCGCAAGAGATAGTAAGCCCCACCGCTGAGGCAAGTGTGCATGCGCTGGGAGGCCAGTCCTATCGCCCACGAAGCCGGCCACAGATTGTTGGGTGCTACCGCTGCGGAGCAAAAGGGCACGGACCCGAGGATTGCCGCTTCCGCTCGGCGTCATGCTTCAAGTGTAAACAACGAGGTCATATCGCTCGAGCCTGTTGCCGCCGTGAGAGTGGGTTCGGGGTGGTACCACCAGAACGTCAAGTACACGCCTTGTCGCGGGAGGAAGACACTGGCACGGACGGTATGTTCGCGCTGGAGGCAGCGGACAGTCACATCGGCCACGTCGGCATTACGCAACTCATCGTGCGCACCTTGGATTGTGGTGGGGTTACAGTGAACATGCAGGTCGACACAGGCTCGCCGGTTTCGGTCATCACGTGGCCCACATATGAGCGGAACAAAACAGTGTGGCCGAAGCTGCGTGGTTCGCCATTGAAACTCACCTGCTTCCTGGGACGGCTTCCAGTGCGGGGACAACTTCAGCTCAAGGTTTCGTGCGGAAACAAGTCGATGGCTGGATCTTTGCAAGTCCTTGGTTGCTCCGGCCCAAACCTCTGCGGACGCGACCTGATTCAAGCGTTCCACATGCTCGAGGCACCGGTAATGAACGTGAACACGTCAGGTGAGCAACTGCCGTTACTCGGTGCTGACGACGTTAACGTGGACCGGTTGCTAGCAGAATTCGCTGATGTGTTCGCGCCAGGTTTAGGGCTCATAAAAGGGCCACCGGTACACTTCGAGACGCGAGAAAACGTGGTGCCGAAGTTTTGGAAAGCACGCGAAGTTCCGTATGCTTTTCGGCCAAAGGTCGACGCGGAACTGGACCGCCTTTCGGGCGCGGGTATTATTGTACCGGTGCCTCATGCGGAGTGGGCGGCGCCAGTGGTACCGGTAGTGAAACGGAATGGCTGCATCCGCCTTTGCGGCGATTTTAAGCTAACGGTCAACAAAGCCTGTCGCACTGAGCAATATCCGTTGCCACGGGTGGAGGATATCCTGGCTACATTAAATGGCGGTGAAGTTTTTACCAGGATAGACTTGCGGGAGGCATACAACCAGCTTCCGTTGGATGAGAAAGCCATGCACCTCACGACCATAAACACGCATAAGGGACTGTTCAGCTTTACTCGCCTGCCTTTTGGAGTGGCGTCCGCGCCGGCCGTGTTCCAACGGCGTATGGAGACCATTTTGCAGGGACTTCCGGGTGTTCAGGTCTACCTAGACGACGTCATCGTGGCAGAGAAACGCAATGACTGCACCACCCTGCACGATGTATTCAAGCGTTTCCGGGAATACGGCGTGCGCCTGAACGCAGACAAGTGCAAGTTCCGCCAACTAGAGGTGGATTTTTTGGGGCATCGAATCAGCGCTCGAGGTCTTCAACCAAAGACGGAAAACATAGACGCCATCCTTAAGGTTCAGGCACCACGGAATTCCGCAGAATTAAGGTCCTACCTCGGCATGGTAACGTACTACCACAAGTTTCTTCCCAATGCATCGACCGCCATGGCACCCCTATATCAACTACTCCGGAAGGAGGCTAAGTGGAAGTGGGATACCGCTCAACAGCAGTCATTCAGCAGTGTGAAAGACCTTCTGAAATCCGCAGACTTTCTGGCGCATTTTGACCCACACAAGCCGCTAGTCCTGGAATGCGATGCCTCCCCGGACGGAATAGGCGCAGTGCTTTCACACGATGTCGGGGGCGGAGTACTTCGGCCCATAGGGTTCCGCTCTCGGTTATTGACTGGAGCTGAGAAAAATTACTCGCAGCTGGAGCGTGAAGCCTTGGCACTTGTGTTTGGTGCGTCGAAATTCCGACAATACTTGCTCGGCAATACTTTCACATTGATGACGGACCATAAGCCGCTTGTTGCACTTTTTCACCCAGACAGGCCAGTGCCCGTGATGGCCGCTGCGCGAATCCAGCGGTGGGCCCTGCTGCTGAGCGCCTACGATTACGTCATCAAACACCAGCCCGGGAAAGACAACATTCCAGCCGATGCCCTCAGCCGACTCCCCACGTCAGCAACTTCCCAGCCAGAGACGCAGGAAGAAACTGTGGACGGTGAGTATGTCCTGCTCACGGAGACCCTCAATGATGGTGTCATGTCTGCGAAGCAACTGGGCACTCTCACGGAGCTTGATGACGATTTAGCAAAGGTGCAAAAATGGGTGCAGGAGGGATGGCCAAGAAATTTGGGGCCTAAGGACCAGCACTTGATGCCATACTTCAACCGGAAAGCTGAGATAACGGGGAGTTATGGGCTTCTATACTGGGGCCATCGAGTGATCGTCCCTAAGAGTGCCCGAGCAGTGATGTTACGTCTGCTGCATGATACTCATCAAGGGATTTGCTCAATGAAGCGGCTAGGGCGCTCCTTGATGTGGTACCCCCGGATCGATAATGACATTGAGCACATGGTTAAGTCCTGCACCAGTTGCATCCAAGCTGCCCCTATGCCCCCAAAGAAACCCCCTGTTGCGTGGCCAGAAACGGATGAGCGTTGGTCGAGGCTGCATATCGATTTTGCGGGGCCGATCGATGGTCACATGCTACTGATTGTGGTGGATTTACATAGTAAGTGAATAGAAGCGATACCCATGAAGAGTTCCACCACACACGCCACCATAGAGGCTCTGCGCACCTTGTTCAGTACATTCGGGTTGCCCCGGACGCTGGTATCCGATAATGGCCCACAGTTTACGAGTTGGGAATTTAACACCTTCACGAAGCTGAATAACATAGTACACCTCCGAACAGCACCGTATCACCCCCAGTCCAATGGGCTCGCGGAGCGGGCGGTTCGTACGGTGAAGTATTCATTGAAGAAGAACGTACAAGGGTCACTGAAAACCCGCCTGGCTAGGATTTTACACAGGTACCGCAGGACGCCGCAGGCCGGGGGCCGGACACCAGCGCAACTCCTAATGGGCTACGATCTTCGCTCTAGGCTGGACAACGCAGTGTCCATTCCGCCCTCACCAGTTGACCGTCCCCCCCTCGATGGGTGGCAGCCCGGGGAGCCAGTCTGGGTGAGGAACTTCGGGCGAGGCGAGCCGTGGACTCCAGCCAGCATTACATCGACAGACGGAGCCCGCCTGGTGAATGCCGATGGTCCGGAGGGGGAAACCATTAGGCGCCACAGCGACCAGGTGAAGCCACGGGAGTTGGAGCATGACCAGGGAGAAGTCGGTGACTCTCGGTGCCTCGAAACTGCCGGCGGGGCCCTAGCAGGAGGAACACCGAGGCGAGCGCCAACAAGGAGCGAGATCGCCGGGAGCCCCTCAACTCCGGTGTTGCGTCGCTCGGGCCGGCAACGCAAACCCCCAGACCGTTACTCACCGTAGGGGGAGCGGAATGATGTATCCGTGACGTCACGCCAGCCGAAGCCGCCGTTATCACCACTGCTTCTTCTCCTTCCCTTCCCCTTAACCCCTCTCGGACAACGCTACATTAACCCGCGCTATCACAATAAAGCTTTTGTCTTGGCCCAGCCACGGCCCTGGCGTGTTCGTTTCAAGACTTTCGTCCATTGTAGAGCCATTCGTGAAAACAAATGTGAAACGGCCTTGGTAATTGCACATTTGTTGAAGCGTTAGAAGGTTGGCCTCAAGGCAGTGTGTCGAGGATATTTTTTTCTAACCCTTTGCTATCCAAAGTGACTGGAGGGGATGTAAGCTACGAAGGAGAAAAAGTTGATATTAGGACGCAACGAATATAGTTCTTGTTGAAGTGCCACCTCATAAGCTCGCAAGGTGTCACCAGTTCGCCCGTTTCTTTGAATAAGTTTTTCACGAAGCGGATGGGCGTAATGCTTTTGCGATAAGCGGATGAAGTGGTGGCACGGCTTTTAAATGCGAAAAACTTGAATTGATGGTTCCCTCGCTTTTGCGATGAGGAGGCCACTGTGAGCTCAGCGCGGTAAGCCCAGGCAAATACGTAGACTGCGGGCTACGATGTTGTTTAGCTTACGCGCATTTGTCTGAGACATACTATGAATCACTGGTAATGCATATGCGATGACTTGTCGAACAAGAGCTCTATGAACCTTCAGGAGTGCTTCTGATGTGCCGCCCCATTTGGTTCCTGTAATAAATACATCGGTGAACACTCAGTGTCCGGTAGACCCGGTCCTCAACGTTCGAAAGATGAGATCCCCAGGTCAGCATGCGGTCCAATGTTATGCGAACAAAACGATGCTTGAGCACAACAGGAATTACAGTCTGGTTAACCGAGATCCTAAACACAGTAGAGAAAAAAAAACATTTTGCTCTCGCTCTTGGTAAGCGCGTGCGGACGAGAGTGACGACGGGTCTTACGTTTCTTATCGCATGAAGACATCAAACAGTAATGAATCACCTGCAATACCTCGCAGGAGGTGAAACCACAAATTTTAATGTTTAACGCCACAAGCAGACCAATAGACAGGTCATCAGATGCTGACTGGTATAGAGCGTGGTTGCAAAGCTGCCACTCTCAGTGGCGGTGTACCGCCTTAAATGCGACATTCGTTCCAAGGAGACCTTATAAAAAAAGATTATCAATTGAGAAGAAAACATCTGCCTCCTGCATGCATATTGATAGCACCTGTAGCAGATCAGAAGGTCAAGCCCTCTCTCTATCGCTGAGTGGAAAGCATAGAAATATAAATAACGAGAAGGCATCTAAGGGGCATGTGCTGAATCGACTAAATTGGCAGTTAATGATGTTGCGGGGCCTCGTGAACACTTTGATGCTGAAAGTTTAATCTCTGCCGTTCCATTGCGTCCTTACCACAACACAGTCAGTTGTTGAGCGCAGATAATGAGCATAGGAAATTGCACGCAGTATTAATAAGCGTAAGTGTTGGCATGGGTCGCGGCACGCGACGGCACGAGTCCTGCCGCCGCAAGGCTTGGCTCCTATACGGAAAGGCAACTTTAACGTTGAAATGCGCCATCGATCGCTTGTTATCTGATCTCACGTGGTCTCGCGGCAGAACACGTGGTCGTGCGCAGCAGCTGTATGATTCAGTTATCGTATTGCTATCCAACTCTCTTCCAGCTGAAATGCTTCCATTGCTATAACAATACTTTGACTGGTAAACGAGCATTCGCAATAATAATGTTCTCTTAAAGGGCAATTACGGTAAATTGCCAACCGTACTGTTGGCCGTACTGCTGTTTTCAATTGGTACTGACCACCGTGTAAGTGAAACGTTGTTAATTTCGCTGAGAGACATGTCGATATATTAAATAGGCACGAAACAATGCGTTGAAATGAAAACAAAGAAGATAGTGCAAGGTTTCTCGATGACAGGGCTGCCCACGGTTTGAGCACAGCGCGCATGCTTTTTTTCTTTTTTGGAGCGATGCACATTGGCGACGTTATCTGCCAAACGATCGAGCTATGCCAGCTTTTCTACCAGTAGTGATCTCGGTGACTATTTAGGCTACTATACGTCAGCACGGAAGCATCTCCCTTTGCTTTCGCATTGTTATTCGGGTAAGCTCTGCATTTGTGACTCTCCCGAGTGAAGTACCAGAACATGCACTAGCGTTTTATTGATTGATGATTTATATGCGGGTTTAACGTCCCAAAACCACCATATGTATATGAAAGACGCCGTAGTGGATCGCTCCAGAAATTTTGCCCACCTGGGGTTGTTTGACGTGCACCCAATTCTGAGCAAACGGACTTACAAAATTTCTGCCTCCATCAGAAATGCAGCCGTCGCAGTCGGGATTCGATCCCGCGACCTCCGGGTCAGCAGCCGAGAACCTTAGCCTCTAGATCACCGTGGCGGGGCATGCACAAGCGTTTCAACTATAGGGAACCAGTCGACAAGCCGAAACGCGCAAAGTCACTTCTTTCTGTGAAAGAGCGCTGTTGGAAGGAAATGAGTGATAACAAACACATGCATGGTGTCCCTTGCTTCTTCAATCGCTGTATATTTTGAAACTGAGATTGCTCGAGTAGTACTTGAACTCCTCTTGGAGTAATTCTGTAACGTTATGGTTTGACTTCCTGCAACCTAGGTGTGTACTTTCATTCTGATAGCAACTTCAATTTCCAACAGCATATACTTCGTATATTAGAAATACCATTCTAAATTTGAGTGGAAGGTCACTGTGCGCAGGAACTTGCCACGAAAGGGAGCAGAGCACAGTTTGTTTCATAGACCAAGTGCCAGCGATTCTTATTTTCCGAAGAGGAATTATTTATGGTGCACGTCACAATTAATTCATTGAAAACGGGGGAAGACTTTCTTTTTCAGTGAAATGAATCCCTTCATCTTACACTGAGACTTGTCGGAGACGCGAGAAGAACCTGTCGCCGTGCCTTTTTGCCCATAGCCTGTACACCGGCGACTGATAAATTCCGCACTCATGCCGAAACTACGGGACGCCCCAAAGTACACCTATCAAGGATGCGCTGGTGGTGAGCATAAAATGTAGCAGCTTGCGCATCAACCGGTCGGTGGCGCCTGGCAGCCCCTTCCCTTCCTATGCTGTTCTCGACGCAAGGCTGCCAGTATGGATGTCACGTGCAAAGAGACGTGATCGCCGACTGACGCGAGCTTGTGTGGTTCCCAGTGATACAGCAGGCAGCGAACTGGATGTAACTCATGTAAGAATCGGCGATGCTATGCAGATACGCCATTGAGGGGAGGACAAACGCAAGCTCGCGTGCGCAAAAACATATACACGGATTATTGCGTGTAAGGAATGCTCGTTCGGATCAGTCTTGATACTTTGTGAAAGCAAAAACACCCTGTACGCGTCGGCTAATATGAATGTTTTGTGTGTGTGTGTGTGTGGTATGGCTGAAGATAGCTAAGAAATTTTTATTCGTGACGCAAGCAGTATAAAGGAATGGCGTCTATGCTGAAAGAAGCTTGAAACGTCTTTATTCAAGAGATATCCTCAAGGACTTCGACGAGTGACGGAAAACATCACCAACACGCTCGTCTATTCGCAGCAGTTTGTGGTTGTATTTGTGTAATACAGTGTTCGCCTCGCATACTTAATTTGGTTTCAGTGGCATGATGATATCTGATGTTTGCAGTGGCTTCAAAAAGTTTCGATAGCCGCTCGTTTTAGCACCACCAGCCACGCACACTTGTTGAATATGCGGTAGACACACGGGGACGTTTCCGGTGAAGCATTCGCTATCGGCCGGAGTGACTGCTACTCCCACTCGTAAGTTCCAGCAGTTGGCACTGTATCGCTCCTACGAGAGCAAACGAAAAGACGGGGACACTCTCTGATAAAGCTCCAATAGAGGCTTTTTTTCCCACTGGTATTCCTTATTTACAACAGTGAGGTAGTTTCTTGGTCTCTCACAAGTTGCATTTCGCGTTGTTTTACGGGCTTGTCAGCAATATTTTTTGGGAAACTGAGACATCAGACGTCTTTAAGCACGCCTGATATCCAGAATTTAAGTGCACCACTACAAAAAAATTCACACGCGTTCACTGGTGCTCGGCTGAGATTCCAGCCTCAAGATAGAAACTCGGAATGTTTCGCGGTGTGCAGACCAGACTGCACGAACCTTGCTGGGCTGCTACAGTACTTCTTCCGCCTTTCCCCTTCCCTATTAGATGCAGATCCCAATGGAGCCAAGTGCACGTGCTTCTTGCGGCAGTCAGAAAAGTAAGCATTGTGTACTTGGTTTACATCGTGCTGCATGCTGTTCATTTCCTTCACTATGAATTCATAAGTTGACTTCTTGAGAGTGTATGATCGAAGTGATCCGGGCACGGCTTTCTTCTGAAGATGTTTTGTGCAGTGAATCCAGGAAAGTAGCGCCGAATTATAGCGTGTTTTGCTATAACTTATCGTCAATATTGTTGTGCCCAATGGTGTTTGTATTCGCACAATATAGGTGCACCTGCTTGTGCATGATGTAGTTTTTTGTAAATAGATCGTTCTGGCCTGCCGTGCTTTAGCAATATTTTGTTGGTGATGCTTGTTACGCATTTTTCGTGGTCTAGTGCTGGCGCTGACTTGGGCGAAAATGTTTTCGACAAGGATCGGGGTCGTTGTTGCACAGACTTCAATAGGAGGCGTAATTCCAGCGATAAGTAGCCAAAGTAGACAAGCCATTCAATCTTGTTGACAAATTTGTAGAGAATTGTAGAAAATCAGTATCATGAAATGAGTTTTCATTAGTATAAAAATGCATTATTTGAAATTGAATCAGCAATATATTAAAAATAAGAGCACAGCTACTTTCTCCCGCTCTTCGAGCCACATGAACACTGCAAAAAAATGAACAAAGTTACGTGCAGCTGCATATATTTAGTAGACAATAATGATAGTCGCATACAAAGACTGGAACATTTCAGCCATCCAGCCAGTGTAAG